TGTATCTTTCCCAATGACCATGATCTTTGTTTTCTTTGCGTTCACCTTAAAACCCCCAAGCCCACAGTATTTCGCAATATCGTCCGTAGTTTCTTGCAGTCCTTCAACAGTGTCATCCATTGCTGCGATGTCATCAGCATAGTCAAGATCAATGACACATTTTTCCGGTTGTCTGGAACGTTGTCTGTACTGAAGTGTAAAACCACGGGATATATTCTTAAACTTCTCTGCAAGTTCTAATTCCCAGTTAAGTACAAGATTAAAAATGGGGGGGGGGGGGGGGGGGGGGGGGGGGCCCTTGCACATCACCCTGTCCAGTCCCCGAATCGACATCAAACCATCTTGTCAATTCTCCATTGACACGAACTGCACTTTCAGTTGCTCTAAACTTGTTTACTCTGTAATAAATAGCATAAAATTGAATTTTTGTTTAATTGAATTTTTGTTTCACTGAGTATTTGAGTGGAAATCTGGGCTCTTATAATATAGGCTGTATATTGTTCGTTCACAGGAGAGAATTGAATGGATTGCTCTTGCTGTGGCAGTAAGTGTGTTAGGATCAAGAGTTTTGTTGGAGAGCAAACCGGATAGGTCAGTAATGTTTTGGGGAAATGATAATTCCGATTCCAAACCAACACAGATTTAATTTTACTACGCCGCGCAAAACTTATTTGGGTCACTTTCTGATTTATTTTCCCAACTTTAATTTTGCCGATATCGTGAACTGCAAAATGTTTCAGTTGTCATTATATTACTTCATTAATTTAGAAGTCATTTCCCAGATGGTTGTTCACTTTCAGCTGTATGAGTTTATATACTTTCAACACTACTATATAACAAATAATTTGAGTTCAGGGATAGCATGTATTAGTGCCCTCCAAGGGGAGTCGTAAGTTTTCGTTGTTTTGTTGGCTGTGAAAGCTCTTACTGCATTACCGCTGCACACTTGTGTTTATTATAGATCATAGATATAGCTGATTTCTACTATGGCTGGTAAAAATAGCAATACTAAGAAGCCAGGGAGGCTCAGAAACCTCTCCTCCAGTTCCAGTTCCAGTTTCTACTCCAACTCAACCTAAAACAAAAACTACTAAGAAGCCCACATCATCATCCCTATCAGAGTTAGATGCTTCTTCAATAGCGACCCAGCTGAACGTTACACCACACATTGTAATGCCAGCCATCCAGCACTCCCACAGAGATAAGGAAAAATGTCCTTGTGACCAGTCACTGGAATCATTGTAGAAACTAAACTGTGCCAAATGTGGACAGTTTTGGCATGCGGACTGCGTAGGCTTAATGGACTAAATAGGAAGATGCTCAATGATCTCACACAGTGGCCCTGTCCCTTTTGTTTTGTATCACCTATTGCTGCTATATCCACCGACGTTGACGTCTGTCATGTTTGCAGAAACACCTTATCACTACAGCAGTCAAACCTGGAAGCAGAAACAGCACTCATTTCATCTCAACTAGCCAATTGTTGCAAGCTTATTAAGGATATTGACTTTGTTGAATTCAGCAACAGAATTGATACACTCGGCCAATTTGACCAACGCCTTATGCACCTCCTCTTAAACGACCAGTCCTTGAAATCCTTAGACTCAGATATGAAGCTCCTTTCAGACCAGTTGGCCACTACCCTGGATCAATCACCCACACCACCACTCAACACCACAATTGAAAACCTCACAACTGCCTTACAAACTCATGACAAGACTTTCCACTCACTCACCAACCAACTAAATGATCTCAAACAGCAAGTTACATCCTTATCATCAGACTTGACCGCCTCACCAACATCAGATCAATCTGACAAGCTCCTTGAACAGGTGTCACAAGAGCTCAGAGAGGTATGCAAGCAGGAGCTGAAGCAATCAACAGCAAACCTGCAGCATTCCTCAGAGCATCCACTGACCCTCCCTGGATTACAAGAGCTCAACACCCAGGTTGTAACCCAGCTGCCCCCACACAGTTGCCCGCCTGTATCTAAACACTCTCTCGATTTTATTGATGAGGAGACAGAGAAGGATCTCATAGAAATGCTTGATTTTCGCACATCTGAGTTCAAGAATGAGAATGGATGATCTGTACTGGCTTTTGAAGTTCAAAGATATCACTACACCGGCACAAAATCATCCTCCTCATCCAACCAATTCCCAGACCAACTCCAATCACTCATAACACAACTGAACAATGATCATCCAAACACTCCACCTGTCAATGGCATTCTCATCAATCGGTATGATGGTCACTCAAGCTTCCTTCCACAAAACTCAGACAACGAACCCCTCATTCATCCTGACTCATCAGTACACACACTTTCACTAAGTCACCATTGCACAGTCACTTTCAGCAAGACTGGCACCACAGAGCCCTATCACAACCAGTCTTGTCCACCACGATCACTATGACCAGGGCAAGTCAGGATTTGTACGAACACAGAATTGACTCAGGATCTGTCGACTCCGGTATCCGATACTCTGTGACCCTCAGATTTCTTAGTGCTCTAAACCGTGCTTCTACATATTTCATGGGAGATTCCAACACTGGTGGACTTAAATTTGGACTTGACCCTAAGAGATCCTTTGGAAATTACCTTCCTGCAAAACAGGTCTTCGCACCCACTGTAGACCACATTGACCCATACGAATCCTGCGGCTACAAAAACACTGTCATTCTCTGCGGTCACTTACAGACTACAGTAGCTATAGTGAGTTCTGGATTACTGTTTTACCAAGGTCCAATAATAGCATAATTTGTTTTTAAAAAAAGCATTATTAGTGTCTATTTCTTGAGGTAGAAGTAATACTCTATTTATTCAATTGCATATAATATCTGGTTCCTATAGTTGGGAATGAGTTATCTGTTCACAGATCGCCCTCTAAACTTACAAGGAAATATTTCCTGTAGATCCTTGGCAACATTTGACAGAGCAGTGTGGAGTGAGCTATGTGCCCATCCTTGGAGAACCCGGTGGATGTCCTTGCTGTATGGCAGTGTTAAACAAGGAACTGAAACCGAGGGGTTCCGTTCAGGCCCTTCACACTTTGTTTCTGTCTAGTTCTAATGTACCGTCACAATAGTGACTTTAATATATATACCAATTAGCAATCGTGTCCTTTACCCTCCTACACAATTTGAACATTTTCGTGGCTAATTCATTGAACCAGATTTAATATATATCAAACAATTCAGTAAGTTAGCTCTTGATGTACGCTGTAGTTCGGAAATTTAAACCAAACTCTTTTGATTAACATGCATCAGCCGCACGCCGAACCAGTGTTACAAAGTAAAAATTGTGTCTTCATTTGTAAATTTTTGTGAAATGGTTATTTTAACTATAAATATTTGAACTAAATATGAATTGATTGTGGGTATAAAATCAAATTTTGTTTTATTAAATTTTGTTTTATTAAATTTTGTTTTATTAAATTTTGTTTAACACAACCTTAACTCTTTGAGCCTGACAATTAGCGTAACAAGATTAACTTGACCAATGACCAAGGATTAAATGTCAGTCCCCTTGTCAAGAATCTCGATTTATCAACCATGCAGTAGCTGAACGTGTACACGAGATACGGTTATGTTAAAAAATGTCCAACAAGCAGACCTTATAGTTAAGATTCTTAACAGGACCTATTCACCATCGAAGTTAAATTACTATTCTGTATGATGGACACCATTTTATTTATTATTCAGCCACTGATGAAACTGTGACCGCCAGTGAATGATGAACAAGTGTACACTGTACAGTGTACACTGTACACTGTACACTGTACACTGTACACAGTGTATCATATGAATTCCCTCACATAATAGGATGCAGTGAAACTATCGGACTACGATGAACTTGCCAAATGCCACCCCATAGCAACATTAAAATATATTGACTCTGTTACATCGTTTCCTGTTAATATAAACTCCGTACAAATTGAACTGGGATCTGACAATACTACACATCCGATTAATAAAATATGAATTCCCTCTCATAAGATCCTGGCAGTTTGTCTAGTAAAATATCTGGATACAGGTTGGTGAATTTATTTGGGTTTTACGACACTGTAAACTAATATGCTAATCGCTGTCACGTATCAGAAAAATAAATATGGTTCAGCTTTCCGCTACTTCAGTAGCCAAGTTAACGTCATTGTATTTAACTTGTGTATGACAAGTAGAAATTAAAACTTCATCCATTATATCACACAAAATGTTGCATGTTGTTACTTAACTAACCGCAGAATCCCATATCGACAGAGCTGTCCCGGGAACTTTTGGGTCTCTGTGCAGGAGTCATGTTTATTGTAGCCGATAAACTATAAGGTGGATATTTTGATATCAAAACTGATCGAAATCTTCCAATTGAGTTAAAAACTTGATTTCTTGTGAAATCCTTGAAGATCAGTAATATTTTGCAAATAGTGCGATTCCGCACCTGCCTAGATCTTTAATATGATCGAACAGTTCGCCAAATAAAAAACGTTTGACTCTAACCATAGTGTCGGGTATGTACGCAATTCTAATTAAAAGACGGCAAAATTGCACACGAGGACCAGGCCGAACCACATAACTTATCTGTATCATTATCGTAATTTGATGCACTCAAGGACCAATAAAAGGACTATTCCGAGTCACTTGTTTTGTTGTAACAAGGCCTCATAATATCATCAATCACCTGATATACAAATTAGGTATGTATACATTTGTCTTGCTTTATAAGCTATTAGCTCAGCCATCTTCTTAGCCACTTTACACATAGCTAAACTTTTACGTGATATAGGGACGATTCCTTTATGGCGTTATCGTTTTTAAGTTCAGTTCGAACACTGACATTTTGTCACTTCTCATACGTCACTCCGCCATGACTCATATAAAGGGATAGGGTGCACATGTACTTTTGAAGAATGTTTTGCTGGTTTAATTTTTTGTCTATAATGTTATATGTATAAGATAAGTACTAATCATCTAATTTCACGTGAGTCTAACACCCTGTGCACATTAGTTGATGTCGATAAAGACAAAGGAGATCAGTTGAGAGAACAAAATTACACTACCAGTACAAGGTAAGATTGTGAGACAGTCAATGTACTACTATTACTAAACTTTTATTTTTGTAAAACATCAGTACTGTCTGTAACCTGTGTGAACATCACACCTCGTCAAATTGTTGAACCTAATGTTGGTGTAATCTGGACTCTAGGCTGCAATTACAAAACCGATTTATTCAAAGAAGGAAGTTTTCGGTTTGTCAAATATACGGTTTTATTTACGAAATTATTATCAAAAAATGTTGTTATATATATATATATACTGTGTTATTGTGAAAGCTTTGTGAGTAGCTTTGCAAATAGGATCTGGCTAAACATTTCAGGCGATATCAAGATTCGAGACACCTACATGAACCATCAGGAAGGGCCTTGCCGTGCCGCAGAAGACCACAAGAGAAATGAGAAAAGATTAATGTTTAGAATAAACATGCTGTGTAAGTTTCAATATCAATGTCATAATTGAGCCAGTGGCGTAACGAATGGCCCCGCTGACCCCACTGTGCGGGGGGGGGGGGTGGGCGCCATGACTGAGTTGAGCCAGGCACGAATAAAAATCGCTAAAAATATGTTGCATAAAGCTGCTAAACCGAAGTCCTTACAACTAATGGTCAGGTAACATTTTTAGGAAACTTTGTATATTTAAAGTCACTTTTGTGACGGTACATTAGAACTATATATCATGATTAGATCTATATTTCAAATGACGCGATACAACGATTATCCAATCAGCTTCCAGTATTGGCCAATCAAAACCCAGAATCAGTAATCACTGTAAAGTTTTATGTAAATATGGTTCGCCTTTCTATCGATCAATTTCAGAACTCCGAATTTAATAGTAATTATATACCCTCTTCAGGTGTATTATACTGGATGACTCATGACGGTTGAAGTACTTTCGAAGCTGTAGAGCAGAGTTATGGAATATATGGAACACGCGGACGCCAAATCAACTATCTTTGTAATAGCAAGGTAAGGTGCACACTGCGCTAAAAAATTGTGCGTGTTTTACTCCGCGCGCTTTCTAAACGCGCGCATGTGCCTCGCAAATCTTATACCTTATAATGATGATATAATTAGACCTAAAAACTTAATATTAGACAATTTTAAACGGATCAATTCATTTTAGTCGTTTTTATTTACAGCGAAAGATTGATGACTTCTTTTTACTATGATACGTGACTCATTATGTTAGCAACATCTCACATTAAATTTGTCAAACTTATGCAGATCATTCTCTAATTCGCAGGACGAATTTACTCCTGTATTCAATCGAATGAAAATAACGAGTTAAGTTGTTGTCTAGCACAGCCACAATACAATGATTTTTGAGAATTATATCACAATAGACAGTAATTCTAGACAAAATTCATTAGTCATCGTTGATTTTTACAAAAAACATATAACCTTTCCTTCGCTTATAAATCATATTGATGAAAGGTTAGTCAAACCATATTTCACTTGCCTGTACTTGTACGGCTCCCTCCGCCACCTCTCCCCTGCTAAGATGATGGGTCAGGCTGTGTCCACACGAAATTCCAGACTCCTCGACTTTCCTATCTGTTCAACTATTATACAATGCCATTCCAACCCCAAACTCTGGTTCTAATCCTTAGCCTGGCCGAGCACTTGAGTTGCATTTTGTCATATCGAATTCCTGAGAAAATTAAAAATCACGTATGGTCACTGGTCAGTGATTGCAGTTCTGCTTCTCTTACATCTTAATTCGCAAAGTTAAAGACTTACTTCAATGTTTACATTTTGACATTAGCATCTTGAGCGTGTAACCCTACAATTATCTTGAGTTGTAGCAATTCACTAACCAGCTCTGTCCTGCTAACAGAGAAATTGTTAATTGCCCTGCAGATTAGAAAGAAGCAGCTAGATTGACTTATAAAGATTGGGCAATGATTGTGATGCGTGACTTAAAGTACGAAAGTGTCCTTGTCCAGGCAGACCATAATTGTAACACACATGGCTGGGCCAACTTAACAAAGGGCCGAAATTTGATTTCTCATTCTGAAAAGGGTCCCCTGTCTAGCCTTGTTTTTTGAATGCAGCAGCGAGAAGGCTGTATTTTAAACCTCCTCTTAATCGCCATGTCAGATTTGGCCGGTTGCTGTTAAATAGTCTATTTAAGTCTTTAGACTGGCTGCAGTTGTTAGCTGAAACCCCTTTCTGTAGCGGATTATATACTGTTCAAAACACAATAGGGCTAGGTGCATTGTCTTGGGTAGAGAAAGACTACCTGTATTTGAATTGTAAAGAAAGAGAAGAAAGCGTTTGAAGAGTGTCCTGTTATTTCTCGCGAGCGTTAGCTAAGTGTCCGGCTTACATTTATGAAGGAGCAAGGGGCTCTCTTCAGTCCTTTGTCCGTACAGAGAAAAACTGCAGCTTGGAAAGTTGGCCACATCTTTATAAAGGATGAGGATTATTTCACATGGTCTCAGGACTATTAGAATACTCTCCAAAATGTCCTGAACAATCAAGAGAAACTATGTACTTCTATTACAGTTAATTAGCCTCCCAGACAACATATGGGCGGCATCCCTGCTTTTTAATAGATAGACTCCGGATCAACCGAGCTGTTTTTGCCTGTTTGTGTTTCTTACTGCGCGGACTCGTGCTGGTTTTGCTTTGTAGTCAATTTGCACGACAAACATTGAATTAATTATATAGTTAATCTGAATAATAGGGGGGGGGGGGGGGGGGGGGGGGGGGCATCAACCTCATAAATACCTATTATAACCATATATTTAAAGGTTTTGTTGTATTTTCAGTATTTTTCCCACTTTTAACATAATATATTCAATTCTATTCATAGTGTTAGCTGTGTTTTTACTGCATTAGGGGGGTTGATATCAAGTTTTAAAACCAATTTTTGGGGTTGGGATTTGGGAAAAATTGGATTTTTTGCCTTTGTGTACCTTAAACTTAGGTTGTATAGGGTTTTTAATTTGATCAAAGGATTATGAACAGTTCAGACTATCAAAAGGTTGCTTATATAAAAGTTTCTGAACATTTTGAACAACGATTAAAAATATTTCCAAAAACAAATTTTTAATCGAAAATTTTTAAGTAAAAATCTTGTCATGAAATTTTCACCTAAAATTTCAAAAAATCTATTTTGCTCACAATATTCTGAAACGTCCAAAAAAGTAACTTTTAGCTGCCTTAGATGATCTTTGGTAAAATACATATAAATACCTATTATTCCCTCCGATTTCAAAATAGGTATAGGTATTTATTTATATTTATGAGGTTGACGCCCCCAACTACGTTTTATTTAGGCTATTGAATGGGTAGGGGTACGGGGAAGGGGCGTGAGCTTCTTACGACTTGATGACACTATTTCCATATTTAAGTGTAAACGACACATGTTACCATCCAAGCATTGGTGTAAGCATTAACGAATTTTCATTGACAAATAAATAGCTATTCCTTTTGGTCTCAAAAAATAAATACGTTTACCATTTTAACTCTCCATTTCAACTCTCAGCATTAAAATGATTTATTTTAAATAGTTAATAGCTCCTCTTTACGTCCTGAGAGAGAGCTTATTTGTAAAGCAGCATCTGCTGAATACTGATTCAGCGCTAAATACATTAATAAAGTAACGGAGGCAGGGTAAACCTCCGTTTACCTAAATGTCTTTTTGCAAGTAGGTTGCAGTCAACGTGTTCACTTAAAGAGAGCTGTTTTTAGGATTTCCAAAACCCGTCCAGTTTTATCCAATCAAATTACCGGCAGTCCGTGTCACGTGGGTTGTGCTGCTCTCCGATTGGCCGGAGGAATGATCACGTGGTTTGAGACAGCCTCTTACGGCGTGTCCGGAAAATTTTTCTTTTGACCGCTAAAACTGCGTTTTATGGTAATGGCATACTGCAACACCTTGCAGCGGAAATTCTGGTTTGGGCTGACCTGACAACTCAGATTTACTGTTTCAATCTCGCGGCTGCATTTGTTAATAATTACAGTCGAAGATAATTTATACTTGATATTAGCACGGTTACATACGGTGAATCGTCACTCTGATAATATGTATGTTGTTATAGAGTTAAGTATTATAAGTGTGAATCTCAGTTTGATACGTTCAAACCTTAAATTGTTTAATAATATATGCGTCAGAGAGCATACCCTAATCTTACACTTCCACTTCTACTCGCTTCTACAGTGATCCATGGCCTCTAAAATATTCGGTGATGGCGAAGAAGCAGCATGAACTACTGGAGACAATAATACCAATTGTCGTGAGAAGGCAGCCTAGCTGGCCGTCTACACTACTCCTTTATAAATAGTTTCCTTGTGTGCTAAATAACATCACTAATCCGCTACACCTGCCGTTACTAGCAGAGCTCCGATTCTTAAGTCTTCTCTCTAAATCCTAGCTGATTATTAATAGATAAACTCTAGGAACAGCAGGTCTCTGCGATGTTGTTCGCTATGGGTTCGCACGGACTGTCCAAACATATGATCTGTTTTCAGAAAAAAAGGGAAAGAAGCTTGAAAATCAAATAGCAACATAATATCTGATTGAGTGAATTTTGGACAAGCCTCTAAAAACATCTGAGGAAGTATGATGATTTTCTATCGGCTTATTACTCATTCGCTGATAAGAATTGTTTTTATTTGAGAAACTTGGCCAAATTAGAGTTTTACAGAAACTGGCATCTGATATGGTTTTGAGGTCACGAGTTGCTTGATTTGATGAAAGCGAAATTATAAAAATAAATTATAAAGTCGCATCTGTCAAGCACTCATTCATTAAACATTAAGTACTGAGGTTGAATTTTTTCGACAATTTGAACATGCTAGTTCCTGTGTTTTTTAGTTCGGCTAGTAAGAATATCACAGTTTTTCCTTAAGCCTGCATGTTTAGGTAATGATATATTAAATCACTGTTGAATCTTATTGGCCCACCAGCCGACCGGAGATCATTTTAGGGTTTCTATTCTTGTTCCTCTCATATTTTACTTTTTAAACTTGTTCCTCCACGTAACATGACATTTTATTTGTATACCAATTTTTACATACCTTGCACACTAAATTATTCAAACAGTTCTATGCAGTAGTAGTAACAAAACATATAGCTGCACTTATTGCCGTATTTTGATGACAGTGTTTACGTATGTTTTTACCCGTTTGAGCGCGTGTCCCCATGCGTTTTCTGCTGACTTCCTATATTTACCTAATTTATATTAAGCATGCATAATATCATCCAGCTCATTAATAGTGTCTATCACTGCTATTTTTAACTGCTCGTTATTTGAGCAAGCCCACCATGCAACTCCTCTATTTTTCAGTGTCTTATCTTCATATCTAATTAGCTTGTAATTAACATATCCCACCCCGCTTCATCTTGTTAAACTGACGCATTTCCCGATTCCTCACTTGCTATTTACACCCCGCACGTTTCATGATGAAGGAGCAGACCTATGAAACAACAGAGAGAGGCGATAGTGAGAAACCCCCCTCTGCATGGGAATGCACTCTAGTATTTTATTAATTAACTTTCAGCTAGATCCTCACCACTACTTTTTGTGATAGTGCCCCAGCCATCCTTTTAATTCGTTCTTGCGTCAAATCAGATCGAAGAATCTACAAAACTATTACCTTTGCTCCCTGCAAATTAAATCTTTAAATCTACACCATTAAGGACCTTCCGGCCCATTTTTGTGGTACTCGTTTTTGAGCTCTCATTTTTGGAGCTTTTTATACCCCTTAAGTGGGTCAGCCTTGTAGTGATTGTTAATATTTCGGTAGCCGTACAAAGAGAAATTTAAGAAGGCCGTGTCTAAAAATTAGTAAAAATTTAAGGAATTTCCTGTAATTGCTGGGCAGGGAGCCTGGGACGGAGTCGCCTTGCTGTCCAAACTCCTGGCTACACGAGCCGTACTGCGACCCTGCATTGTCGCGATTTAAAAGGCAACATAATTGTAAGCTTTCCCGACCTGAGCTGACAGTAATGATCG